TTGGATTCAAGTTATAATTTAAAAAAATTATTTCCCAGGCCAGTAGTAATAAGAATTGGCAGAAATGAAAACCAGTGGATTTCAAATGAGAAGACAGTGCGTTAAGATCTGTCATCTGCATAGACCAACTGATTTCACTGTCAAACTTGGGATCACCACCTCCCTTCTAAGATCACAGACCTATTCAAATGCAAGGAGACTCGAATCTCTTTGTCTCAGAAGATTTTTCTTTAATATGTGTGCTTGTTTTGCCTGTATATGCACCATATGTGTACCTCGTGCCCACAGAAACAGAAAAGGGTGTTAGGTCCCCTGAGTTGGAGTTAAGGACAGTGTGAGCTGCCATGTGCGTGCTGGGATCTGAAGACAGGAGCTCTGGAAGAGCAGCTAGTGCTCTTATCACTGGAACCATGTCTCCTGCACTCTCTTTCCTATTCTTGTCAAGATGGCTCAAGCTCCTCTAGATAAATTTATCATAGAATTACAGAATAAGGATTTTAGAAAAACATGGCTGAGATTATTGTAGGAGTTTCACACCAAATCTATACATCAATTTGGGCAAATTTCCTATCTTTTGACTTTTCTAATGCTTGACACAGTCCCTCCATTTATGTAGGTCTTCTTTGGTTTCTTTTTTGTCATATATATGTATTTCCTTTTATAGATAGTTGGATTTGCATAAACTAGGACTTTTTCACTCTGTGCCCTGGGGTATTTCTTTACAATTTTGACTTTAGCTCACATAGTATAAAAGACTGGGCAGTGGTGGCGCACGCCTTGAATCCCAGCACTCGGGAGGCAGAGCCAGGCGGATCTTTGTGAGTTCGAGGCCAGCCTGGTCTACAGAGTGAGATCTAGGAAAGGCGCTAAGCTACACAGAGAAACCCTGTCTCGAAAAACCAAAAAAAAAAAAAAGACCTTTCTAGAGCTCTTTGCCTATGTCATGGTTCTCCATAGTGGATGTTTTCCCTGGCTACCATGAGCAGATAAGCCAAACTCTGCATGATGAGAGATGTCATGTGGCTGACTTTGTCACTGAGAAATTTTGGATACCAGGGTATGTGTGTAGGCCTCTATGGTTTCCAGACTTGAATTTTAGAAATATTATATTTGTGCCAAGTTCACTATTTCACCAGTTTTGAATGCTAGTGGCTTTTTTTTAAAATTTATTTATTTATTATGTATACAGCATGTATGACTGCAGGCCAGAAGAGGGCACCAGATCTCATTACAGATAGTTGTGAGCCACCATGTGGTTGCTGGGAATTGAACTCAGGACCTCTGGAAGAGCAGTCAATGCTCTTAACCTCTGAGCCATCTCTCCAGCCCCGCTAGTAGCTTTTTATTTCTAGTTCAAGTTTCAAAAACAAACACAAAAAGCATAAGAGATTAAAACATTTTATTAATCATCCCAAAGTAGGTTATAAATTACAAATTCAGATCACGGTAATAATATTAAAAGTGTTTTCAGCAGTACCATAAACTATACCTTAAGACAAAAACCAAATAGTAAATGGTATGCTACACTGAAATCTCATGTTTAAAATATTACTTTGTCTAGAAAATTCACATACATGTTCATAGGCATACACATGTTGACAGAGCTACATGATTTGCATTTAACAAACTCATGAACTAGTTTTCATGCTTTGAATAAATTGCCAGGAGGCTGTAAGAGCTTAGAGTTTTTAAAGTGTATGACAGAATACCTTATATGACGAAGCTTTCCTATATACCCCCTTCTGTGAAGGTACTCATAAGTAGAAGTTTAGATGACTACATGGGCCCTCAGAGAAATTCTATTCGGTTGGGTCCAGGAATTATAGTGACAAATTCTAGCCTAGGTGAGAGGGTACAGAAACAAATTTCTCAGAAAATTTATATTTGCTTACTGGTCCTATATGAAAGGTCTCAACACCAAATTGGTCTGCTTGCCTATAATAAATTAGAATTAGTATTTTGCACTAAAGTGAAGTGACTTAAAACAGCATTACATACCCTGCTGAGTCCTGCCTAGCTTAGAAAAAAATACAAATGTGTAGGCAGATGATTGACATGAGTATATTCTCATTCTCCCTCTCTCTCTTCCCTCCTTCTCCCTTCCTCAATACAGGGTCTTACACGGTTCCAGGATGGATTGAAACTCACTATGTAGCCCAGGGTGGCCTTGAACATGGTGATCCTTCTGATCAGACTTCTGGTGCTTTGTACTGATCCAGGCATCACACATGCTGGGCAAGAAGACTCCACTAGCCCACATGTCTATCCAGGGTACGTAGTAAATGACTAAGCAATCCAAAGCTTTGGTTCTGTGAGTCATTGCACAGAGTGATGTTTGCAGGGACCACAGGCCATTTGTGGAAATCAGTCCTCTCTGTGCACCATATGGATCCTGGGATCCAACTCAAGTTGTCAATTTGGTGACAAGTGCTTTTACCCGCCAAGCCATCTCATCAGTGCCCCACCCCCATGTTATTTCTAAGCAACTTTTGGCATGCCACCTTCTGAGTAAGGCAGTATATCCTCACCTGCAATTTCTGTGTCCTAGTTAAATGATTTTGGACAAGAAAGAAACATTCCTCCTTAGCGTCTTTTGTCACCTCAGGCCTTCAGTGGGGATGGCAGGAACACCCCAAAGCACATGTCACTGAGACACTGGAGTGACGTGTCATGGAGGCCACACTAAGAACTCATCTCAGAACTGCAGACAGCAGCAGACTAGAAGTCACAGAATGCTTGGATCTCGGCCTCAGCTCTTTTGCTCAGCTCACTCCTTCCTGGGATTACTCAGTGGCTGAGAAAATGAGGGCTAGAGTGAATGTTTCACTGAGTACACAGGGGCCACATTTCAGGGTCTACAGCTAGGGAATCTGGGGAACCTGCTTTCTAACTGCTCAGCTATTCATAGGGACGCCCAGTTGTGGTTACGAGCATTTTATCTTGGTGGCCAGAGGTCAATAACTGCAGCCAAGAGCACGGCATGTGCCCCATGCTTGGAGAAGTAGCTAGATGTTGCAAACTGAGAAAGCATTGCTTCTCAGGGTCTCTCTGCAGATAACCTTGGTTACATAAGTACCAACAAGTTACTACACAAGGTGTCTTCAAGCAAGCCAGGCAATGGGACCAGAAAGTAGTCATATAGGAGAAGGACACTTGGCATATTCAGGGAGGAAAGGAAAAGTGATCTGAGAAGGTACAGGTGGTGGGCACACCTAACCCAAGGTCTCTGGACACTCAGCAGAGTTCAAAGGTTAAGAAGCACAGGTGTCACTGTGAGTGAATCATGGGATCATTTTGAGATGCAGGCCTCACCTTCGAGTTTGGGAGAAAGGCTTTCATTTTCTGCAAGATAGGATGGAACTTAAATACTAATGCCAAACCAGAGGGAAGACAAGAAATTTAGCTGTCCTCTGTGTAGGGAGGAATATAGAACCTCTGACCACAGGCCGAGACTGCCTGTATTCTGGATACTTCCAGACCTTGAACTCCAAAGATGGACACAGGTGAGGTAACTTGAATAGGAGTAGGTGAGATGCTTAGAAAGCATCCCTAAGCAGCAGAGAGTAGAGAATCTCTTCTCCCAGGCAGCATTAACTGTGCCAGACTGCCCTGCATATCTCACTTAGAGCACATCACTTAAGTACAGGTACAGAGATGGGTGCAGCTAGCCCAACCTACTCACGAGTGCATAATGAGAAGAAAAAGGAGATCAAGGGGTCCAGCAGGTGTAGCACTTGGTAGTAGGGAAGTCTGAGTCCTTGCACTATTACACTCAGCAGAAGGAAAATCTAGAGATGGATATAGGTTTTAAAAGCAGTGATTTGGAATGAGGAAGAGTTATCAGGTTCACATTAACCCTCCATTATGGAAACCTGAAGTAATATTGGATAGAAGAACAGTCATATCTTTATGCTAGATTAATTCAGAGTGTAGGCTATCGATTAAAGAAACAGGGCTATGGTTCATACATAAATAAATGGTATATTAGAAAACTCAGAGGTATATCTACTAGTATTTAGTGTCAACATTCAAATTAAGGGTAGAAGAGTTACAAGTTCAGAACATAGAAAAATAACCATGAATAACTCCTATATTTAAGTCTAACAGCGATTGAGAATGAAATGAGCAAAGTAAGCTCTGTGAAATCACAACTTTTGGGCAGCATGACTGAGTGACTTATCAAGAACTACTGCAGGTCAGTGACCATGTTCCTATGACGTCAGACATTTAAGCATCACATAGGCATCAACTTCTCACTTCAAATATGAAGAAAAGAGGATACATCTTGACAAGACTTGAAATGGGCTCTCATCTTCCTTTATAAATCGCCCTGTGCTTTAAGTCAACTGTGGATCGCATTGCTTGTAAAATGAGTCTGCCACTGTCTTTCTCTGTGTGACACAAAGTCTAATCACTCATAAAATACTAACTCATATTCCACAACCTTAAAGGGGCACTAACACAGCAGCTTAAGTCCTGAGGGCTGGCAGGAAGGACTTATTCCTAATAAATGTACCCTTCCTTAGCTTTGTCTCATGAGCTCACTTTCCAGTATAAACATTATTTAATGTTTTAAGAATCATGGAATACATCACAATGCACATGAGCTCTCCAGAAGGTGGGGGAGACTCCCTTAACAGAAAATTGGACATGACAAGGGAGAGGCAGGCATTTGCTCATTCATCTCTGCCTGACCACCAGAACCCAGTGTTTTACCTGGTGTATAAACGCCTCAGTAAATGCTGAATGGCAGAGCTGATTAGATGGCCCACCAGTTAGAACATTTCTGTCTTCAAACTTTTCACTTATCTTCTTTGGCTCACACATGTTTTAAACAGTTACCCGCCTTCTTTTTGGGAAATGTCCCTCCTTAACTTTGTATTCTCAGTACAGCTGGATAACCTCATCCCACTCAGAAATAGGCCAGATCCCATTGGGCTGCACATTTGGGGGCGAGCTCTTCCAGTCCCATGTCTTGACAGGAATCGTCCAGGTCTTACCATAGTTGGCTTCAACGTAGTCAACTGTTTCACAGGGCACATGGACTTTCATGTCTACAAACTCGGTCCACCACAGTGTGAACTTGGTAAACAGGTACCTACAGGAAAACAAGGACAAGCAGGAGCATCAGGCCATGTACCTCAACTGCCAGGCCTTCCTAGTGAGGGACAGCCCTTTCCTGTCAAGTAGATTTGGAGAGAGAGTTGGCATTTATTCTTTATCTGCTCAGCACCCCTTTCTTCTTTTAGGGTTTACACCCTGGTCTTGCTCTTCTATTCTGCGTCCATCTGAAGGAGAGCTAATCCCATCCATAAGCTCCAGTGGAGAAAAAAATACAAACCAACCAATCTAAACCTAACCCAGGCCTGGTTAGTAAGTTACGGGGAATGATTGCTTCAGAGATGGGAAGACACCAAAATTAGGCAAAATCAAAGCCAGCCCTGGGACTGTGTTGAGAAACCTGGGGAAATAAGTGTCACAACGTTTCCACAAGATCGAGGAAATGGTTATTTCCTTTTCTTGTACAATCTCGTGTTCCAAAGCAAATGGATTGATTCCTCCAGCATGCCCGAGGTTTTTCCTCTGCTCTATATGCGATAATAACTCTACTTTCTACTTCTCTTTAATCTCAAATTTTAAAGAACATTTCTAAACCTCTTGGGAAGGGAAGGAATGAGGATCAGGAGTTCAAGACCAGCTTCAGTCATATTGTGAATTCTGGGGCAGTCTAGTCTACTAAGACTCTGTCTCAAAAAATAAAATATTGAAATAGAACCTTCCATAAACTCTATAACAAAGGAAAGTAAAAAGCAGCAGGCCTGTTTACAGTTACATAGCTCTATATTCTGTGTTGGATTCTCAATGAGAAATTTTTTCATCATAACTCGGAAGAACTTTCAGTATTTAATGAGGAAATGGCAATAATAGGGATCAAGAGTTTAATATACTAGAGAATTACAGAGAGAGTAGAGAACTGGGGAAAAGGGATCTGATTGTATTTGATTAACATGTTTTACCACCAAGTGAACCCCAAGAATGGATTTTGCTCCTGAATATCTTGTTTTACCACAAAGCAAACATGAAACCACACATGAAAGTGTATCTGAATATTCTAAAAAAGCCAACAAGTCCGATACAAAAGGCAGTGGGTACTGGCAGTTAGTGGACAGTCCCAGCTGGCATCTATGAAAAGACAGCCACAGAAAACCTCATAGCTGAGACACAAACCAGGCACTGCTTCGACACACCATCTGCTGGTCTCAGTTTTACCCTGCACTTCAAGTACACAGAATGACTTATTTTGTCATGAGAAATAGCCATCCTTCATCAGTATCCACGCCCCACAATCACCTGCTGGTCAGCAGAATGTCCACCTGCCCCATACTATCAGGTTGACACTATGAACCCGAATTGAGGCAGACACCATCTCCCTAGTAACAGCAACCAGAAAGCATCTGCCTTAATATTAGCCTTTAGTCTCATCAAAAAGCTGAGAGCGGAAAAACAACAGCTTCAGGATACACGTGGTAGAATACTACAGGCTACAAAAGAATGCTTGGAACAGTGAAGGAGAATCTAAGAGCAAACCCCAAACACTTAAACTAGAGAAACAATATGAAAACGATACAAAAACAATGCAACTCTAATGTTGTCCCTAACCAAATCCCTAGACACTCTGATTCTCATATCTCTACTCATTTTCAATCTATTCTACAGAAGAGTATCTTGGCTTCCCAGGAGAACAGGAAAGATAATCACAAAATGTGATAAGTAATTGTAAAGTCAGACCATGCAGAGGAAGGAGGCAGCAAGTCACACACAACAGCACATGCTTGGACTTTGCCTGGGTTACAAGTAAATAATGACTGATACTAAATCTCTCAGTGTTGCCTGGATTAAAAGCTATGATTCAATCTGGCAGAACAGTCTGTACTTTAAAGCCTTGGGAAGATATCCAAAATCTGAACAGATTTAATTAGAGTAAGGCACCCTAAATTAGGATACAAATTTAAGAGATCTTACTATGGTAAAAAATTCTCCCATCTGTTTTCTAACTTGGACCACTTCACTTCATTCCACTTTGGCTAAAACAGCAGTTACAACACTTGCTAGCTTGAACAGTGAACTAGAGTAGGATAGTTTTATTTTCTTCCCCAAATCTGAAAGCCAATAAAGCCACTTTGGGGTGGTTAGAATAATTTTGTCAGCTTAGTTGTACAATCTTTGAACATAATTGCCAAATGAGAAGTATTCCCAGCACTCTAGAACAGTGTGTCTCCTGGTGCTAATAGAGGAGGCTAAGTGAGACAGAGGCCATCAACTACAACCGACCTGACCTTTCCAAATCTAAGTCTGCACCAAAAACTGCAGTCCCAAGAGCACAGCCGAAGACCCCCTGAATTCCTCATAAACACAGTTTATTCCCATTAGCACCTCACTTTTCCTGAACCTCCCATTTTATCTGATATTCCAGGGCCTAAACACTAGCATCCCGTTTAATAGGAGCAGTCAACACAGGCTGCTGCTTCTGATTGTAATGGAAATGTGGTGGTATTGTGTTCCCCAAAATGTGTGCACCCTAATAAACTTATCTGGAGTCAGAGAACAGAACAACCACTAGATACAGAGGACAGAAAATGGTGGCACTCACGCCTTTAATCCTAGCATTCCAGAGGCAGAAATTCTCTGGATCTCTGTGAGTTCAAGGCCACACTGGAAACAGCCAAGCATGGTGACTCTCGCCTTTAGTCCCAGGGAGTGATGGCAGAAAGCAGAAAGGTATATAAGGTGTGAGGACCAGAAACTAGAACCATTTTTGGCTGGCTTTCAAGAAGCAGTTCAGCTGAGATTCATTTTGATAAGGACTCAGAGGCTTCCAGTATGAGGAAACAGGATCAGCTGAGGAACTGGCAAGGTGAGGTAGCTGTGGCTTGTTCTGCTTCTCTGGTCTTCCAGCATTCACCCCAATACCTGGCTTCAGGTTTGATTTTATTAATAAAAACTTTTAAGATTCCTGCTACATGGAAAAGCTTCTGAGTTTCACCATTAAACATGAAGCTCCCTCAAGGTTTTCATTATCTTCCCTTCATCAAATCAAGGAAATCCCATATCCCTTTTAATTCAGTTTCCTGGAAGATCTTTGCTGATGGGGACTTAATGTTTTTATGTCATCAACTCAATCACCTCCTCCCCTCCCTCCTGTGGCAGCAGTGGAGTTGGAAAAGGAGGCTGTGCACAGGAAGTGCTCCCTTCACTCCGTTAGGTAGAGTCAGACTATGCACATGCCTTATGAAACTATTCTTTAGCATGTTTCCACCTGTGTTCACTGTGCCGTTTCCCTCTTAAAAATATGCCGGGGGACTCCATGTGCAGGCTTGCTGAGTCTCATGCAGTGAGTGACTCAGCTGCTCTCTTCCTGGTTTAGAAACAGGCTCTGTCCCCTGCAGGCAACTTATGTGTGTAGGTATGATGGACAGTTTACTCTTTGTAAACCATGTGGGTCTTGGTAACTCCTGGAAGGGGAAAGAAAGGGAAAAGGCTTTCTGGTTATTAGTGCAGTTTCTTGACTGGGTGTAGGCTATCTGTATCTTCCTGAATTGATTCTTTTTTGTAGTTTTCTGTACTTTTTACATCTCACATCGTACTGCAATGGCTATACATAGATCACCCACAGTATTTTTTTTATCATCAGTCCAACACAGTGAGAACTATAAAGGGTCATACATCTTGGGTATGGGGTATAAATATTATTTTTATTTATTTCATTTCCCCTATATACCTGATCAATCATGCTAAAGGTCTTTAGTTGTACAAATTTTAAAACTATTTATTTATCCATTTATTTTTTCAAGATAGGTTTCTTTATGTAGCCCTGACTGTCCTAGAACTAGCTCTGTAGACCAGGCTGGCCTAGATAAAATTAATTTTTAAACAAACCAGCATCTGGAATTGATCTTTTATACTATTTATTGTTTCATTAATTTCTTTTGACTTTTTACTTTAATTCCTCAGAAAACTTCCCTGATCATTTATACTTATCTCCATGTGAATCCTTAAGTTATACAAGTATTAAAAAATATTTATCTTTACGTGTATGTGTCTGTATGGATGTATATGCATGCGTGTGTGTGGGTGGCCACAGAATCTAGAAGGGGTCAGATCCCCTGTCGATGAAGTTATAGATGTTTGTGCTCCACCCAATCAGATGCTGGGAACTGAACTCATGTCCTTCTCTGGAAAAGCAGCAAGTGCCCTTAACTACCAGGCATCTCTCCAGACCTCAGTTTTAATGAGTATTTTTTTTCAAGGCAAGGCTATATATACATTTATACTTAGTTCTTTATATCCTGTAAGTTTCAGTATGTTGTATATAATTATCTCAGTACAAAGTATAATGTATTTTCTACTATAATTTCCCTTTGACTCATTATAATAAAGAATATTTAAAATTTTCCAGTTTCAAAGAATATTTTTAAATTGGCTTCTTCTTTGTCTCTTTTCTTTTCATGTGTGTGTGTGTGTGTGTGTGTGTGTGTGTGTGTGTGTGTGTATGTGTGTCTGAACTCTGGTCTTCTTGATTGCATGGTAAGTGCCTTAACCACTGGACCATTTCCCCAGTATCCCTTCTAGCTTCTTTAATATGTCTTTGTGCATAGATCTGTGAGGCCTAAACTTTCTAAGCCTTTCTGTATTTGTAAATGTCATTGTTTTCATCTCACTCCTGAGCATGACTTAATTACATGTGATGTGAAAAGGTGACAGTTTTTAGAAGACTCTGGTGCATCATCTTCTGGCCTGTGTGACTGCTAAGGCACACCTGGCGCTCTTTTGGTAAGCCTCAAACTTTCAGTCTTCCCGACTTAGCCTCCTAAGTGCTGGGATTACAGACAGGATCTACTACAATCAGTTACTAATCCTCTTTGTTTGTTTCATATTTTATTCTCATATTAATATACATAATAATGGGCCTCATTATGACATTTTTATACTTTTTATTGTCAAATTTGTGTATGTTTAACAATTTTGCTCTTATACACTCATCTAAGAATTAGACTCAACTCTTAAAAAACCAAAGTTACAGTATACTGCCTAGTATCT